GCAGTGGCTTCACAGACACATTACACAACTCAGCTGGGGGCTATCATGCGCATGCTGCCACTCACACCCATTACCAGATAGCTGAGATCTCTCCCATGACTATTATCAGTGAATTACCGTATTATTACTGAATTCATAGATATTGTTTCTTTCCTCTGGATCTGCAGGGAACATGAGGGAATGGACTGGAAAACCGTTAATACTTCACTGTTTCAGTCCGTGCTCTTTTCTGGCATACATGCATGTGGACCTCACAAATTTGCAAAATGTACTTGCTCTTGGTGCATCTGACTTAGCCCCGATATAACATAAGCAAGATAACTTTGCTTACGAAGAACTGCTTATCAGGCAAATTACCTCTTGCAGAGCAACATCCTACCTGAGCCTCTTGGTCTGTTTCCAACAGTCTGTATGCCACACAATGCTATGTGTGGTCATGGAATTTGAGGTAGTCCCAGATAAGTAATAAAGTACACACTGTGACAGATCTTTTTTTCTTTAGATGGTGGTTACATTAAACATGGATGAAAAGCTTTTCTTTTAGCGATGGAGGAAAGGGACAGTTTGCTTGTATTTCACTTAGTGACCTTTTGCAAATTAAATTAATGTTTTGGATCACTTCTAGCCTAATTACATGTTTGGAGTGGGAGTGGAACAGCAAGAGGTTGTATAAATGTCATTGCTCAAGGGTTTTTAGTGAGAGATCTTGCTTTAACTGTAAGAGGAAAGATTTTATTCCACAGTTCATTTTCACAGATATTTTCGTGAGATTGAGCACTTATTGATGTCCATTGAATTAACTGGAATAAAAACATCAGTACAGGATACAAAGAAGTTAGAATGTGGGGCCTTGGCACAGTCTTCCTCTAGGGTCCTGGGGAGTGCATCTGTGTGGTTGTGCATCTCGTCTGTTTCTACCTGTGTCACTCTTACCTCTATCGGTACCACTGATTTGAGCCATATATGCACCTGCAAAGTTAAAATATCCCATTTTCCAATATCTGTCACATAACTGTGTGGAGTAGTTACCTTAGATCACAGAAGATGAATGTACCATACCTTAGTCCACCACATTTCTATAGTAAGGGCTATCCTCTTTTGTCTCAAAAAGCGTGCATGGTATATGTCTGCTTAGTTTCATGGGTAGGAAACTTAAATTATGGCAAGCTAACCCCACCTTTAAAGTGACAGAATTTCAGGTGCCATAAATTGGGGCAAATTTCTTTTGGATCTCTGCTGCTTTGCATGAATGGATTGCCTCGTCCATTGATATTTTTTATTTTTTCTTTCTTGAGGAGATCTTCATGGCCCTGGTATTTCTCCTTGTTTCTGAGACATCTGCCTTCTCCAGCATGGGGAATATCAGTTTGCTGGGACATCTGTGCTCCTTCCCTTGATTCAGCAGTCTGCTAGAATGAATCTTTTTGGTTTTAGTAACATGAACCAAATCAAAGCTTCTAAATTATATTAGCTTATAAACAGGGTTGTTTTTGTCTTCAGCTGTTTGAAAATGTTAACATTGTGCTGTGTTTATACAGAAACCTACTTTATTAAATTAGCCTCTTATATTGGGCTGAGATTGTATTATTATACGAATGCCAGACTGTCTCTTTCCTGAGCCTGTTAAACTTCAGCTTATGGATGGCAAGAAAAATTTTACTTGAAAACTTTAAATGAATCTTTAGCTCAATACATTTTTTTTTTTTTTTTTTAATATAGAAACCATTTATAGTTTACCATTTACCTAAATAGAATCAGGCATTCTTCCATGGAAGATTTGAAGAGAATCTGTTTTATTTCCTCTCTGAATCCTTAATTTGTTATTAGTTTTTCACTGCAGAATAGTGAGATTCATTTTTGTCATCCAGAGGGGAAGGGAAGAAGAGAATCTACTATAAATGTTCACTAGATATGATTTTCTCCTTTACTGTGGTATTAATTCAAATTACAGTCTTGAAAATTCAGAATGAAGTGAATAGGAGACTTTAGGATGGTCCATTTTATTGAAAACAAGATGAAAAGAACATGCATTTGGGACTTATTACTGGGACTCTGGACATCTGCAGAGGAAGGAACATTAATGCTTTTAGCTAAATCAGATTTAATTTAGCCTTAATGGAGCTTAATGGTCACTGTATGTGTTAAAGTTCTGTTTATAAATTACTAATAGTTCTTTAAACAGTTAATTATCAGTCACTTAGTTGCTTATATATAAACACTTACCTGTGTAAATAGTATACCTTTTAGAGCTGTACCATGGATGTGTATATAATATAATGGTTATAATATATTAGCTTCTGCTTATAATATATTAGCTTCTATACAGGTACGTTTAATGCAGCAAGAACATAGATTGACTAGACTCTTATATTCTCTATAGAGAAAACTACAAATAATCAACAAAGCACAGATCTCAAGGTCTCAAAATATTTTGGATCATCCTTATCCAAATGTTACATTCCTTTTGGACTGAGGTTACATAATAGTGTCTTAGCAAAGGTACAGTAGAAAGACAGACTGAGCTTGTGCTATCGTACCTTCCCCTAAAGATACTCAGCATTTCAAAGAGAAAAAAAAAAAAAAAAAAAGGAAAAAAAAAGAGCTGAAGTGGAAGATGAATGCCTCAAAGTGGTGAATTTTTACAACCTCTACCTTTATTCACATGCTAATGATTGGGAACCTTAAACAACAATGAAGGTGAAATAATGTTGCCTATGTGCAGCATGAGACAGCTTAGTCCCAAGGGTTTAATGCTGTACTAGCAATGGCCCCATGCTCTGGTGCTTGGGATGGGACTGGTAAACTCTGAACAAAATGCGAAATTAAACAACAGGGGAACAACTTACGAAAAACAGTGGTGTTTCTCAAACACTGATGAAATTCTTGGGAACAGATGACTGATGACCAGGTGACCATTTGGCTGATTAGGCCCAAATTAGGGAATGTATGATAGAAGCACATGTAACTGTTGGAGTGGGAAACTGAAACAACATTGGACTCCTTCCTTCTTTTGTTAGTAATTGTCCCTTTGCCCTTAGTGGGACCATATGAAATTTTTGTCAGGAACACTTAGTGAGATGAGATGATGTTTAAAGCAGGACAGGAGCCACTTTGCATCCAATGTTAATGACGTCTTTTGAAATGAAGAGTTTCTTTTCAATGAATTTCTGTCTGACAAAGGAGCTTTTGCATCAGAAAGATACCCAGATTGACCTTAGGCAAATCCTGTCATAATCTCTAGAGCAGGATGTTTTTCTGTCTGCGTCATTGAGCAAGGTAAATAAGAACGCCTTAATGGTCCATATTGACCTCCACATTTTTGTGTAGTAGTTATGAATACATATTTCAATTAAAGTCACTCGATATTTCCTATTGCCACTTCTAGCTTTCACATAACTAAAACTTTACATAGCATTCGTTTTTGCACTGCTCCATCTTTGGTGCAAAGCAATTTTTTTCAGAGGACTATACACTCAAGGTTGCTATGTGCCTTAGAGCCAAAAAGATTTTACCCATTAGTGCTCATATCTTGCTGTGATAAAGACTAAAAAGGTTAACTAGAAAGCTGGGAGAGTTCATACAAATGTCTGGTACTGTGTTAGCCTAAAGGTGCTCTGCATCCATCAGAGAATTTCTTGTCTTACCATAGTGAAATGTATTCAGAGTCAGCTGCAACAGGGACTCAATGTCAGGAGGGACTCAATGCATATATTATTTGTACAATTCTATTAAGAAATTAGAAATTGCCAAGGTGTGTTATTTTTAAAAGAATACAGCCCTAAGTGTGATATTTTTTGTTGATTTCATAGCATTTTCACAGAATCACAGAATCACAGAATCACAGAATCTCTAGGTTGGAAGAGACCTCAAGATCATCGAGTCCAACCTCTAACCTAACACTAACAGTCCCCACTAAACCATATCCCTAAGCTCTACATCTAAACGTCTTTTGAAGACTTCCAGGGATGGTGACTCCACCACCTCCCTGGGCAGCCTGTTCCAATGCCTCACAACCCTTTCAGTAAAGAAGATCTTCCTAACATCTAACCTAAACCTCCCCTGGCGCAACTTTAGCCCGTTCCCCCTTGTCCTGTCACCAGGCACGTGGCAGAACAGGCCAACCCCCACCTCTCTACAGCCTCCTTTAAGGTATCTGTAGAGAGCGATAAGGTCGCCCCTGAGCCTCCTCTTCTCCAGGCTGAACAAGCCCAGCTCCCTCAGCCGCTCCTCGTAGGACTTGTTCTCCAGGCCCCTCACCAGCTTCATCGCCCTTCTTTGGACCCGCTCAAGCACCTCCATGTCCTTCTTGTAGTGAGGGGCCCAAAACTGAACACAGTACTCGAGGTGCGGCCTCAACAGAGCCGAGTACAGGGGGACGATCACCTCCCTAGCCCTGCTGGCCACGCTGTTTCTGATACAAGCCAGGATGCTGTTGGCCTTCTTGGCCACCTGAGCACACTGCTGGCTCATACTCAGCCGACTGTCCACCATCACTCCCAGGTCCTTCTCTGCCTGGCAGCTCTTAATGGCAGCTCTTAAAGCTCTTTCTTTAATAGTAAAGAAATGTTTTGCACAGCCAATCAATTTGATCTGTTTACTGATAGTGGATATTTTTGATGACACAGCAGCATATAACATGACTGAACTTTTGTTCTGTCAAGGGCTATAATACTAGGAAATGGCACTTTATTTTTTTTTCCAGTGCTATAGACATACCTTAGAAGTGCTTTTCCAAGATTTTTTGTCCTTGCCAGACCCTAACTCAAACAGAGTTAGCAGGTCACAAGTCTACATAATTAGACATCATGTAGTAGAAAGTTGTGAGTTGAAGTGTTTACAGTTATTTTGTCATGTATTGATTTTATAATTCATTCCTCAGTTTTAATGAATCAAAAAGCTTTCCGATACCTCTTTTTCTCAAACTCTGGAGATCATCAGGTGGTAATAGCAGTCAGTGTGGATGTTGCTAAAAAGTATGCAATAATTATCTGATGCCATTGCTTGGTGCCATATTTCTTTCCCACGCTGTGGAAGAACCTTGTCATGGTGGTAATGATGCCGGTACTGATTCCTTTACAAGGAAAAGGAAGAGTTTGTATCTGCCTTCATGAAGTCTTCCAGGAACTGACAGAAAGTCATAGGTCCCATTGTTGACCAGCTATGAATGAGATTAGAGTCTGCATTTTAGTTGAGACATTCCTCATCCAGGCCTCTTAAGGGAGCCCAGAAGCAGCATTTTTAGAAAGACATATTTTTTTGAGAAATGCACGGTCATATTTTCTAGGAATTAAATGTTACTTCCATGAAGGTCAAACACACCAGAGTGCGGTGCAAAAAATATCATGCATGATACAAGTGAACAAGACATTAGGGCATTAAGTCTTAAAGTTGTGTCCCTCTTCCTGAATTCAACTGATTACTATTTATGCCCGTAGGCTGCAAGTAAGGTTTGTTTAGTTCCCCTTGGCTTTGCATCTATACAGATGGAGTTTGAGTTAAGTTTAAATTTTGACAAGTGTGTGGGAGTGTGACCGCATGGGAAAAGAGAGAGAATGAACTGAAGATTGCAAAAGAATTGAATGGTAAAAGGGTGCAAAAAGGTGCCTATTTCCAGGTCTTGATCTTTAATCTAATTTTGCTGGAAATAATTAGTTAGCACTCAGCACTGCAAGGTGTGAATGTCCTGCTCCATGAGCCAGGACATCACTATGACAAGTTGTCCAATTTTAATGATGATAACTGTGGGTTCCTGGAAATTCGCACCCTGCCTGGCAAAATTGGTCTTAGGAAATTTACCTCAGTGCTTCAGCCATCACAATAATGGTTTCACCTTTAGCAATTTACTTGTTTAAAAGCAAGCAGATCCTTAGATACCCAAAGACCATGTAAAATAATGGTAATTAGACAGGCTTTGTCTTCTGGTACATGAGGGATGATTTACAAGAAGAGGAGGGAATCCTGTTTCTGATAAAATATTTATTACTTCTGCCAACCTCTCCTGTCACAGCTCTTCTCCCATGTTCTCAAAAGCAGAAACATCCTTTCAAGATTTTTCTTTACATTTATGAGATTTATACCTGAGGTTCTTCTTTTAGAAAGGATCCCATACATAGAAAATTTGTATTCATTAGATCAGTGAAAATTCACTTGGCATTTAATGTAGCCATGCCTGGAATCTATTTAAGTGCATGTTCCAAAAATTATGAATTAAGTTCATATGTTCCACACATTTGATTTTTAAGCATTACATTGTGCATTTTTAAAGTTCAGCTCAAGTTTTCACCTCAGTATGCTACTAACACCTCAAAGACAATTGCATGAAGGTGTCTAGTAGTCATACTTTGTTTGTGAACTGGTTCTTCAGGTCTATGTTTTGGTGAGGACTACATTAAGCTCCCCAAAACACATCCTGAGAGAAATTCTGGTGAATACTTAATAGCTTATAAATCGATCTTCTGCGATGTGTCCGTGAAAGGTGAGTATCTGCATCAGAATAACAGCTGCATATCAAGAAATAGAGTCCCTGAAGACATCTAACCTATTCCTCAGTCCCCAAACAGGATCAACTATATTGATACCATATACAGTGTTCTTTTAGACTTTGAATTCTTTGAAGGCTTTGCATGAGCTGGGTTTTTTGTAGGGTAGACAAACAGAAGATGTGAATGAATGGAAAGAGCAAGTTTTGCTTTTGGTCAGGGTTTCCTTTCTGTTTTTCTTCTTCTGCCTGACTATACTCTTCTGGAGTTCATTCCTCTCACCCCTCCCTGACACATTTAAGGGAAGGTCTTGGCATAGCTCTGTGACTCTGCTTATCACAGACCCACACAGCATCTGTTGTTATAGGTAGGAAAGAGGAGCAAGATGGAGGCAGGGCAACTGTTGACATAACCAAAGGCTCTGACATCAGTCCTTTTAATTAGGTGGAGAAAGCAGAGAGCTAGCAGATATTTTTAGAAAGCAGGATGCTGGGGAAAATTACCTCATGCCTGAGGTCTCTGGGTTTTATCATTTTAAAGAGTACAGTGAAAAATATATTGAAATTGCATCTTTCTAATGCTTTCCACTTCCTTATTTATCCCTCAACCTTTTTCCACCCTGTCTCGGCAACTGGATTATTCAAGAGTTTTAATCAGAAGTTAGTTCCACAAACATTTTACTTTTCACCTGTCCCCTGCAGATCAGTAGTATGTAGTTTCAATCTAATTAATAGAAGTCAGAGGCAAAAAGAAACAAAAAAAAAGGGGGGGGGGGATTGGATTAAGAATCAGATTTTCAAATGTGCTCACAATATGTCTCTGCCTGTTGCCACTAATGCCCAAGGTAGCTCTTTAGATTTCAGAATTGCTGCTACTACTGATATTCATGCTAAAGCAGCTGGGGACTTCAAGGAGAGTAGAGGTGGGCCAAAGCTCAGCTCTCCTTAACAGACCCAGATGGGCCTGACCCATCAGCTTGTTCTGATCAACGGAAAATCAGCTCTTGTCTTCACCTGGCCTTTCATCAGCTGACAAAGCACACCAGTGTTGGTTTTACTCTTCTCTGAGTGTTTCTGCCTCTCATTCTGCTTTGACCTTATTTCTCTGCTCAGGGACTACCTCTAATGAGGAGAGCTTCCAAGATGATTGTGTTGCTGATCTTTCAGTTTTGTTTTGTTTCATTTTGTTTTTCTCTTTCCCTAAAGTTTTATGGCTTAGGTATTGTTTGTTTGACATGGATGTATTAGAAAATGTCTTTTACAGGAGCTACTGAAATGGCCATCTCTTCTACTTATGCATGTCAAAAGATATTCAGATAATGCATTTACCTGCATCACATGGATTTCCTGCTGCTCGCAATGAAGCTGGATTCTGACTAAGAAAAGGCCAAAGCTTTAATGCCTTGCAGCAGCCAGATGCCATCAGACCTAAGGTGTATATTAGCTCACTGCAGGGGAGAAGCAGTGGGTTGGAAGAGTCCTTCCTTTTCTTCCTTTATCCAAAGAGTTATGTAGGGAAAGGGAGTAATGCAGAGACAAAGGAGTTTGTTGAGTCTGGATCTGCCCTTGTTTTGGAAGGCTTCCACGTTTAGACAGTGAAATGAACCCTATATTAACCTGAAAAAAAAAAAAAAAAAGAAAAAAAAAAGAAAAGAAAAAGAAAGAAAAAAAAAAAAAAAGGAACTACATCAGTGCCTTGCTTTCCATGCCTGGGCGGATATGAGCCTTGGGGTCAGGAGGGATTATTTTGCACCACAGTCATGTAACTAAAGCTGTGAGATATTCAATCCAAGCAGCTAGATAGTTCAACTTTTAAAATAAAGTGCTTCTTCAAGCCCAGCAAATAGTGACCAGGTAAAACTGTCTGTTATCATAGAATCATAGAATCTCCCAAGTTGGAAGGGACCCATAAACATCATCAAGTCCAACTCCTGGCACCACACAGGTCTGCCCAGAAGTTTAGACCATGTAACTAAGTGCACAGTCCAATCGCTTTTTAAATACAGACGGACTTGGTGCAATGACTACATCCCCGGGGAGCCTGTTCCAGTGTGCAACCACCCTCTCGGTGAAGAACTTATTGACCGGGTAAAACTGCCAGTTAGAACCAAGTGTCTTAGATGCACCCATCCTAGAGCCAGAAAGGGAGAGGTTCTCTTATCCCATTCATCCTCTGCAGAGACACACCTGCCTTGCTTCCTTCAGCAAATCCACCACTGCAGGAGTTATTGCTCTGTCCTTAAACAGGCCAGTAACTGAAAGTGCATGTGGACCATACACTATGGGAAGACATCCAGAATTCTCTTCGGAGAATATTTCAATTAGTTAAAAAAAATGCTGTTCCTTGGAGAGTACATGTTCCTTTTGTGTCCATATGCTGTCAAATCTAGAAGAGAGAGCAATAAAAATGTTGGTGTAAGGGACTGAGAAGCTGAGCTCCTAGGCTATGTTCCTCTCATTCAGTACATCTGTTGGCTTAAAGCTTTTGGTCTTTGAAGTAACTGGTATTCTGATGCCTTCTTATCTTTCAGAGACTCCTAGAGCTTGAGTAACGAACATTTCTGAAATGTAACTCTTCTTCTGATAGAAGATATTAAGTCTCAGAGCAAAATAAGCATAATCTTGGTATGCTCAAACTAGTTTTGCCATAGGTGTAAACAGAATGAATGATACTTGCTACATCATAGGAGATATCTTGGGTTATTTTAAATGCTGTAATCCTTCTCCTTTGGATTTCTGGGCTATTTTTATAATGCTAATTCTGATTAAAAATATTAAGTCTGATTGTCAGCACTAATCCATGCTTCATCCCTGCATATCTGGCAATGTTAAATGCTCTAACTAGTCTGAAAGCACTTTAAAACACTACCATGTTGTAGAAAACTGTGAGAAAAACATTCAAGATACAGACATTTCTCCACCTGTACAAAAAGAAGAGTTTACGGAGCTGCACAAGCCAGGATGGATGCTGTATTTAATGCATTGACTTTGATTATGTCCCAGCTTGAAAACAGCTGATTCCATTTTTTAGCTGTCTGTGTGAGGAAGTGAAGCTCAGCTGTGATTCTCCACTGATGTGAAAAATGGTTTGACTATTTCCAGTCATGCAGTTTTCTCATTAAATGCAGTTACTCAGTTCTACTCTTAATAACTGAAATGGCTGTATAAAACTGGGCTTGAAGTGTCCCTCCACCCGCAAAAATGAGTGAGATTTTGGTGGCTGCTTCTGTAGCCTGGCCCTGCCCTATTCACTGGGCATGGTACAGCTGCTTTGAGCCTGGTCCAAATTATAGCCAGGCAACAAAAAGTTTCACCAAGCTACTCAGCAGCATGTAACCCGTTAGAGCAATAGAGAAAATGACACAGCTCTGGAGTTGTCTCATGTTCTTAGGCTGTTCTGGTCCACTTTGGGTTGTATTTTAGGCTCTCTGTACTGTAAATGCAAACTGACTTTACAGGAATGAATTCTACATTTTGGTACCTAAAAAGCTCAGCTAACATCTTCAAGCTGCACAGATGCTGTGAGAGGGTTTCTAGGCATGGAGTATGAACTCTGTAGCACTGCTTTAAAATCAAAATGAGAAAGATATCTCAAAGAAGTTGACGCTAGTTTTCAGTACCTTGCATGTAAATTTACTCCCCCTCAGTTTTCTACTGAAACCTAACTTGACTATGCAAACAACAATTAAGCTATGCTGTATTTTTCTGGTTTATCTGATCTTTAAGTAATATCAAAGCTGGAAATAAGTTTTTTTGTTGTTGTTTTTATTTGTACTGAACAATAAAGACTTTGCTCATTACATGAGCAAGTACAAGTACAAGTACAAGTAAACACAGCAAGTGAATTATGTGAGGCACATAAAGGTGAGAAAGGGCTAATAAAGTTAGCATATGAGAAAGATATACTTGTTCCTGTAGAGATTGACAGCTATATGTACTGTGAATTTCTGATAAGGAGGAAAATGGTACTATAAAAATGCTATCCTAGAAATTATCCAGTTCAAGTATCCATCTTCAAGTTTACATTTTAAATTCTCTATTTCCAACTGAAACATTACTGTAATGGGTGTAATCTTAAAAACTTCCTTAGTAATAAAAAGAAAATGGAATTTATTTGCTATAGGGATGTGTGTAGGAAGACATAGCAGGTATACTGCATTTCAGTTAAAGCTTGAAGAGTGGTTTGAAAACAATGCTTTTTCATAAAACGTTTAAGAAATGACCACTGTAGGAAAGGTGTCTGTACAATAAGCAGTGGACAAGGGCATAGATCATTTCCTGCAAATAAAATACTGTGTATCAGTATGTGCTGACCCACACCGTTGTCTTGCTTGGTCCATGCAGGCATCACTCAATCACTACTCACCTTCACAAAGACTCTGCTTGCAGAGTGGGACACAAGCTGAGAAATTAGTCGTCTGCTTCAATGTGTTATATTCACTTGAGGAAGGTTCCTCTGAAGTGGGAATTTACATTGGTTAGTTGGCTGTACAGCCAAAGGGGGTGTGAGATGTATAGAAATAACAGTAGTCAGTTTAGAGCAAGGGAAGGGTGGGCATAAAGAGAAGCATGGGGGATTTTGTATACATAAGTGGCAGCCTTTCTGAGGACACAAACAGCAACCATTTTGAAAGCACAAACAGTGGCCGGGATGCAAAAATTTACAGGAAAGCAAAGACTCTAAAGATGGTTTAGTCACTTTTTCAAGTGGGCTGTGAGTTCAGGTTTCGCAATTTTCAAGCATATTGGTTTCAAGGTTTTAAAAGAGCTTGGATGACTCTTCAGAATATGTGGTTTTTAGCACTTTCAGCAATATAACTTCCAAATAATCCAAACCATCCCTGGTGCATCCTTTTCATTCTCCTCTCACCAAAGTCAGGATTTCTTAGAAAACTGTTCCTGTCTATCCTAGATTTATTTAGTATTGTTATGGCAAATACTTTGAAAGAAATGTACTTTCCCACATGTAATAGTGACTGTGTATTGTCACTATTGGATTTTATTTTATTTTTTTTCCCTAGGCTGGTCTTTTTGTCATTAAACAGAGCCCAGAATGACCTGACCTTTTTTTCATGACACAATGGGCAAATCTAGTCTTTCCATCACACAACTGTGAAGCAAACAAGGCTATGTCAATAATCTGGGTTTATTTTTAGCTTCCTGCAAGCTGTCACCACCTCCTTCTTGTCTGCTGTCTCTCCAAGCAGTTGGGAGATGCTGTCTTCCTCTCCCTTGGATCCCGTGTTTTCTGCCCTGGTGATTATGCACCATCTGTTCTGGAATTCATGTTCATTCCCCAATTAAGAGCAAAGATAAAATATGATTATCAGAGGTGGATTGAAGTCTTGTGCTTCCTAGGTGCAGGTGACTTCGATTTCATATAATTCTTTCTTCTCTGAAATGATTAAGTTTTGATATCCTGACCATAAAAACATCTCATAAAGGACCATTATTAAGGGCATGTCACATTAAAAAAAAAGTCGTACTGGATCAGAACAGTGTTCACTAACACAGATATCCTATCTCCAGACAGGAATTTCTGTAAAAGAAATTACAAGAACAGGGGAAACATATAATGTTGCTTCCCAGGGCATTATCAAAACATTCAGAAATTAGTGTCTATGGGGCTTGTGAGACAGAATGGAAGTCCTTGTGTTTAGAAGCCCATGGAGTTTTTTCTTTGAATTTGTTCAGTTGGCTCTGGAGTCTGCATATTTTTTAGTATTTACAGGGCTTTGAAGCTAGGATTTCAACAGCTGAACTACAGGTTGCATGAATAAGCACCATCCTTTTGTTTTGAAACTGCTGCATTTGCTGCTTCCTAATTATTGGATGAGAAATGATGGTGAAAAAATGTTTCCTTCTAATGTTTTTCTGTCATTTGCAAGATTTCATAGACCTACCACTCCTTAGCTCAGATTTATTTTCCTTAGCCTAAGAAGGTGTCACCTGTTAGGATGTGTGCATCTCCATAAAGGCAGACCACAGAAACATCATCGACACATGGGATATTTTCTGCCTGGGTTCATACCAGGGAGAAAACTCTCGCAGGAAATGTTTTTGCTTATGGTTGTCCAGAAGTCTTTCATAGCATACAGGGCTACTAAATTGCACACATTCATTCAAAATTCAATGTATATAAAAAGCAGATTTAATGGTGCCACCAGCAACTCTTTTTGAGCAATGAATGACAAATGCCAAGATTCAACTAGCTCACCGATTCCTTAATGTGAGTCAAGAATCACAGAACCATAAAATTATTTGGGTTGCAAGGAACGTTAAAGATCATTTAGTTCCAACACCCCTGCCATGGACACCTTACACTGGAAGAAGCTGGCCTTGTTCCCTGTACTTTGATGTTTCTTTCGTATTCCTTTTTTTTCAAGAAAGGCACAACAATGTTCCACTCAATGCCACTTTAGAGAGCAAGAACATGTAAAATCCAGCTTTGGTTTTAAGAGTTTTCACAGCAAAAGTTAAGAGATTACCATTTATCTGTCTTTAGTCACTGATTTTTGGTTGAAAATACTTAGACATTAGTCATTAGACACAAGAATTATTCACTCATGGTTATTTATGTATTTATTTACTGTCAGCCAGTTCCTGTATTGATAATGCTAGACACTATCAATAGCACTCACAGTAGTTTTATTTGTAGTTGTGCTCCATGCTGCCGCATAAGTCATAGTGGAGTGCTCTGGGATGACACAGAAATATTAATGTAGAGTCAGGGAATTATTTATTATACTTGCAAACTATGTTAAGAGAACATTACTAGGATAGCACTCCAGTTTTAAGAACAGCAAGAAATGAGCCTATCTGTGCGCTCTTTAACTTAAGCACCTTAAGCACATGCTGAGCCACCATTCCACTGCCTTTTAAGTGGAGTTTTTTCAGATATTAAAGGAACAGTGAGTGTGCTACAGTGGGCAAGCTTCTTCCTTATCAAAAGAAATTCCTGTTCTATAATTAGAACCACCACCATGCTATGAAAGATTTTGTGTATAAAGAAAGAATGAAAGGGGAGTATAGAGCTCCACAGGGATACACAAGTGTTCTCAATGCCCTGCTGTGAGATGTCTCAGCTAGGTCCTTTCACAACCATCTGGTTCATTTTTTTCACCAAAGCATGCTACAAGTGTAATCCTGCAGTCTGACCTCTCTTTGTAACCCTTTGTTTAGAAGGTGGTCCTAGAATTACGCATTTTATCCTGCATAATGTCACTAAGGTCTGGAATCAATTTGTGCTGATAGCTGGTGTTATAGGAAGCCCACACAACTTAGCTTGACCAATGGGAAAACTTGGTGTCTGGCACTATGACCATCAGGGACAAACAAAGAAAGAAAGGAGAAGTCCATGATGGTGCAACATGGTTCGGAGTTGTCTTCTAGGATTTCATTTTTTTTTGCAGACCTCTGGCTCTTGGAGGTGGTGGTGTGTGGAGGAAGGATGCAGAAGTATAGATCACTATTGTCTTATCTGTCTTGTTCTGTTTGTGAAAATTGGCAACCTGTAGCAGGTTAAAACATTCTCTGAAACGGCATACTTTTAAAATTCACCCTGCAGACAAAGATTAAGTGCTTAGGCAATTTTGTCTTCCCAGCTGTGGACATCTGCATGTACTAGGATTTTGTTATTTACATGTTGCTTGTTACTAACAGCTCCAGGTTAAAAAGCTGAAATTCCATTTATTTTTTTTTTTCCTATGCATTACTTTAAATGAGAAAAGCAATGCAGTCTTCTGTGAGCTCAGACTCTGGTATCTTGATATAAAATCACAGTGGGTCTTTGATATTCAGGATTGCTACATGCTACTGGAAGATGTATGATAATATTTTCAAAAGAAGTGGGAGGAGGTTATGGAAACGGATAGTATCTGCTATAAGAAGATGTGATGTGTCTCCTGAGTGAAAGTGGCAGCTAGGGTCACAGAAGAGAGCATTAAATCAGGGCTTGTACTGCAAGTGGAAAAACCCTGTTTTTCTGTTAGGGTTAAAATCTGAAGCAAGCTGAAAAACAAGGATCCTTCCTTCTAAGAAAAACTTATGCTTTTTCAGCCTCAGGAAAGACAGGCCCTTTCAAAAGAGATTTGTCCCACAGCTGAAGGAAAGTCAGAAAAACTGATAGATATAGGCTGAAATCTGTGTTTTTTATATCCCAGAGTGTGTCTCTAAAAGGCAAGCTACAGAGGGATTTTCTTACACAGCTCTTGTAAGCACCAAAATTGGAAGGCTCTACAGAGTGACCTGGATAGGCCAGACTGATGGCCTGAGGCCAATTGTTTGAGGTTCAACGAGGCTAAGTGCTGGGTCCTCTTCTTGGGGCACAATAACTCCCATGCAATGCTAAAGACTGGGGGAAGAGTGGAAAGGGAGCTGGGGGTATTGGCTAGCTGAACATGAGCCAGCAATGTGCTCAGATGGCCAAAATGTCAATAGCATCCTGTCTTGTATCAGGAATAGTGTGGCCAGCAGGACCAGGGAGGTGATCATTCCCCTGTACTCGGCTCTGGTACTCAAGTACTCAAGTACCTCAAGTACTGCATTAAGCTTCGGGCCCCTCAGTAAATGAAGAATATTGAGGTGCTAGAGTGTGTCCAAAGAAGGGCAACAAAGGGTCTAGAGAACAATCTTAAGAGTGGCTGAGGGAGGTTTTTTTGTTTGTTTGTTTTGTTTCATTTTGTTTTATCACCTGGAGAAAAGGAGGCTCAGGGGAGACCTTATTGCACTCCACAATTACCTTAAAGGAGGTTGTAGCAAGGTGGGAATCAGTCTCTTCTCCCAAGCACCAAGTGATAAGACAAGAGAAAATGACCTCAAGTTGTGCTAGGGGAGGTTTAGGTTGTATATTAGGAAAAAATATCTTCACTGAAAGGGTTGTGAGGTATTGGAAAAGACTGCCGAGGAAAGTGAGTGAGCCACCATCCCTGGAGGTATTCAGAAAACATGTAGATGTGGAATTTAGTGACATAGTTTAATGGTGGACTTGTCTGTGCTAGGTTAAAGGTTGGACTTGATGATCTTAGAGGTCCTTTCCAACCTAAATGATTCAATGTTCCTATATACCTGTAGTAAGGGCAGCATGCTAAAATGTCAAGCATCCTGATTAAAGCTCTTGCTTTTAAATCAGGTAAATGAGGATCTTTATTTTCAGTCTCAGTGCTGGCTTTTGATCACCGTGGTATTTGCTTTTATAGGCACTCTTTTGTTTCTGTCTTTTTGATTCTGGCCACATAATTCATATGTTGAGTCTTTATTCCACAGGCATCTTTAAAAATTGTCAGGCCTGTAAGAAGTCAGTGTGGATGTATATGAGGGGACAGATCTATTTTACTAAAATCAATGACAGCAGCTTGGGTGACAATAGAGAAAGTTGTGTGAAATTTGCTAGGAATAAAATCTGTCTGACATCTATAGATATAAGGTCTGTTTAGTTTTTGTTGAGATAATGATATTGTTTTCCTGAAACATCAGTGCTGCACTTTATCATTTGAGAACATAGTCTGGCCTTTCAGGAGGATGTAAG